TTTAATAGTACAAATGTTACGTATTTTAAAAGTTCTCATTATATTGAGATTAATGTAATATAATGTAATGTATGTAAGGGATGAGCCATAAAACCGGCCCCCGCACTGCGACCTTCAATGATCTATTAACCTTGAGATTAACACCGTATATATATGTATATGTATATGAGAGAGAAGTAAACGAACTGGGGACAACAATGCCCTTAACATAAACAACACCGACTAGAATATGAAATTCCACAGCCTCCTGCTAGAAAATTACTCGTGTTCCCTTTGAGAATGTGAAAACATGACATTGCCGACGTGACGAATTTCCTCTTGTTGTCTTTTGTTGCTTCATTACTCTCATTTCACTACTTTCAGACATCACTGAAGAATCCTGTAGCTTCACAAATTTTCGATAAAATATCTTAGGCAAAATATTTATAATAATCTTTATTTTGTAAGTCATGAGATTCTAACTGTTCGTTAAATTTGCTTTCAATGAATTCAAAATTCTTAAAATATCTTGTGTAATATGACTGCTGTCCGTCAAAGACAATTGACGCAGTAATTTATCCCCTGGTCCAGAAATTTTGGAAACTCCTGTTCTAAAGAATAGTCCTTTGAAATCAGAGGAAATTTAAAACTTTTGATACAACAATAGTATTTTTATTCCTTTCAGCTATCTATACCTCAGAAGAAATCCCTTGGTAAAGAAAAGTACGATTACGACTCTAAATGGAATTATTTAGGTGAAAGAGCAACTTCAGGTTCAGGTTTGGATTTGTTACTGTCCTTCCCAAATACCTGAACTGTGCCACATTTTCAAAACATCTGTTTCCTATCTTCATGTCACGATTTTTTCCTGCATTTTGGTGACGAGACAGAAACATATACTTAGTTTTCTCTATGTCTACTTCAAGACCAACCTCCTTTCTAGCGTCAATTAAAGTCTGGGTATTTTTATTTATGGTATCTATATTATCACCCAGTAGATTCACATCATCAGCATAGACCAGCAGCTGATGTGTCCTATTTAATTTCAGTCCCACCTGGTTTTCCTGGACCTTCCTAATGGCATATTCTAAGGCAGAGTTGAAAAGCAGTGGCGACAAAGCATCTCCTGTATTAGACCATTCTGGATAGGAAAATTATCAGACAAATATTTACCTATACGGACTTTACCATACGATTCGTTTAAACATATTTTAATCTGCCTAACTAGTTCTATGGGTACACCAAACTCTGTCAGAATACTGTACAGTATTTCCCTCCTAATTGAATCATAGGTTTTCTTGAAGCCTACGAATAGGTGATAAAGTGTCATGTTAAGAAAAATGTAGATACAACTTTAAATTTATAAAGAATTAACATTTGTTATCATAAATTCCTATGTCAGTAATAGATTGTGTTGATACAAGAACGCAAGTCATGTAATCACGCTTCAAGCACCCACAAAGCACTTATACTGAAGTAAGAAAGAACGCCCGCCGGTCACGGTAGCCGAGCGGTCTAAGGCATGTACTGTCTTCGCTCGCTTGGAAACCGGGATCGTGGATTCGAATCCCACTCAGGGCATGGATGTTTAGTTTGTGTGTGTGCGTTTATCTGTGTTTGTGTACAGGTAGAGGCCTTGCGACGAGCTGATCACCCGCCCAAGGAGACCTCCCGAATGTGTAAGATCTAGAAAAACCGAAGTGAGGGGAAAAGTTCATGGAGGTAGGCCTAGGCCCACTTCCAAGGAAAAAAGAAAAAAAAGAGAGAGAGATCGCCCACCCACATTACCTTACAGAATGAATTATGGGTCTGTACTTTTAATTGCATACTGATTTCCGGCCAATTAAGCTATAGGCTTAATTTGTTACGTTCGTAAATGATATTAAGACCCTGTCATGATAAGAAATTATATAAGATTTTTTTGTGACATGTTTTATCAGATATTGGATGAACTATGTTTCCGTTTTCTGAATTACATTATCTGGGATCAGGATGTATTTACTCGCTTCCATGCAAAATGATAGTTTAGATATATATATATTACGCATATATTAAATGTA